TAATATATATATGCATGTACATAATTATGACTATATGCAAACTGCTGCATAGGTTAAAGCGTGAAGCGGATAATTAACGATTTGCGTTTCCCTGATGATGAAACACATTTTAATCAGACTGTTGGAAATTCGCATACATTTTGAAGTATTCGAATTTCAGCAAACATATTTGAATATATAATTGTTAACATATTTTATTCTAATATATAATTGTTAAATATTTGAAGGAATGTCGTAGAAGTGCTTAAGATATGCTACTAAGTATGTCCCATTCCATCTTGGCAAGCTTAAGATCTAGCTGTGACTGTGTATTGAGGATAAACTGATGCGATAGGAGAAGATAAGTTGTAAATAAACAGTTAAATAAGTGTGACTTTAGTCCAGTTGACTTCAGCCAATTAGACTCACTCGTTCGTTAAGACAAACTTGACATTTATGCCATAGCAAGATGAACATAAGTAAAAATGTTGTGTATGCACATTATATATAGTAAGTATGAGCATTTATACAATAATATACAGATATGTTTATAGAAAAACGAAATGCAACTGAGCTCACGATATTGGCTAACCAAATGCAGTGATGGATGCAATGTTTTGAAACGAATGTGAATATTAAAATATAAATAGAAATACATGCACACATACCTATATATACATATATAATATATGCATGAAAATTAAATGTTCCTAATTTAGAGCTATTATCATACAATCTTGGGAAGGAAAGCTTTCTCAGAACTAAAGCAAAAAATGTAAACCCAACTAACTCATGTAAAAACTATATTTGTTTTTATTTCATCAATATGTATGTAATATGTAAATATATATATTTACTTATACATATGTAAGTATAAGCTCAATTTGTTGCCTATGCTGAGGCGCTTCGGAGGCTATTCAATGTCTTACATATGCACAGTTATATGCATACATATATACATATACACATACACATATACATACGCAAACATGTATATATGCCTAATACATACACACATATATTATGCATACGCTCACACACATCAGCAAATTACAATAAAATATAAAAATACTAAATAGAATTTAAAAAATAAATAAAACAGAAATTAACATGTTTGGCAGATTAAATCAACTTTATTAATTACAAGTAATTAAAGTTTAATTAAGAGAACAAACGCAGCAGAACTTTTAGCTGTTGTTGTTGTTTTTGTTGTTGTGAGGATTTCAAGGTTGTGTGTGTGTGTGTGTGTGTGTGTGTGTGTGTGTGTGTGTGTGTGTTGCATTGCATATGGAATGCAAATATTTGTTTGCCATTTAACTTATCGATGCGTTCGAATTTTTGTGCAACTCACAGAACAGCAACAACAACAACAACAGCCACAAAAGTCAGCATTAGAGCAACAAGAATATAAATAGCACAATGTAGTGCATTGCAGTAGTTGTTGTTGCCATTTTGTTTGTCTGTTTAATTAAAGCAATATGTGGCCTCGAGGAATGTTGGGTTAATTGACTCATCACTTATACGACAAACGAAGCACAAACAAACAGGCAAACACACACACACACACACACACTCAGAGACCGCTAGCTGGCTGTCCAAAATGGGGGAACAGCAGCAGCTGCGTCGCAGTTGGCGGCGACGCCAACGCTTACGCACATAGCGCTGGGCGTGACCCAAGCGAGTTTTGTCATTTGTGGAGTTTGTGCGCATCGGCGAGCTGAACGGTGCCAGCCAATAGCAGCTGTGGATGTCGTTGGCATACGCCCACACAAGACAAGGCTGAGTTGAATGCGAGCCACACATTCACACATTCGCACAACACACCACACATGCACAAGCAAAAACTGGTAACAATTTGGCGGCGCAAAATAGTGGTATTTCTTGCTAGTCGCGCAGCCAGCTTCAAGTGGGAACAACCGTGGTTGCATAGCCAACTTCAAGTGAGCGCAGGTAGCAGGCGCAGCCAACATAATGCTATTTCAAAATTTGAGCGCACACCGCGTTGCCAACTCATTGTCAGTCAATGTATCGATATATCGATATGTTATAAATAAAAAATATGATATTGGTGAACGGCATAGTATGGCTACACTGTTTGGCGGGAAATTTAACATGTGATTATTTACAACGAAAAGTTTCATACAAAAGTTACTGTACAATTCTTAATATAAGCTACAAGTATTAGTGAATGCATAAATTCACATCTTTTTACATATTTATATTTGAAATGTTATGCGTGAGGTGTAGGCAAAATGAACAGCCAGTCAACAGATTATGTTAGACATCGTTGAACAGCGCAGCTAACATAGCGGAGATCAGTTTAGCAGTAACAGCCAGCCAGCTAGCAGCACGTTTTGAGTAATAACATAATGGCAGCAGATCATTTGAGCAATAACAGCGAGTCAACTTAACATAAATAGTATTTTAGCATTAAACAGCAAAAACGCAACATCGGTAACGTCGCAACAAAAACAACAACAACGAAACGGTACATCAAATGTATAATGGGCAGTCAACAAGTTGTTTGCTGTTGTGCTCTTGTGCTCTTGCCGTGATTCCAACTGACCGACAACTTTGTTTCTGCTCGTTCAGTGCGAGAGACTATGTCAAGTGTGAAGTGTAGATACGTGCGTGCCTATTATTGTCTTTCAACTTTATATATTTTTGTTTTGTTTATGTTTTTGTTGTATTTTGTTTTCGTGATTTATTGAAGCAGTGCATCGAGTATTGTCGCCTAGCGGTCAACAGACAAATACGCATAATCGCAATCCAAATTCCATTCCGTTCGCGAACCGCGACTCATTTGGCTCACCAGAGGAACAGAGAGACGGCGGAACGAGAGCGGCGACCTGCTGGTCGTGATAAAAAGCGCTGCGCTAGTACTAGTATTCATGGGGCATGGAAATGAATCATTCCACTCGGCCCGTCTCGTTCCCGTACTAAAATAAAAAAAGACAAAACAAAACGTAAAAGAACAAGAGAGCGAGCACCAATCATAAATAAATAAAGTGTATGTGTCCCAAGCTCAGCGAAACGATAAGAGTAGTTGCAAATACAGCCCCGCGCCGGACCCGGACCCGCTGCCTTTCCCACTCCCGGATTCCCTATGTATCAATTGCTTCGCGTTGCAGTTGCCGTTGCAGTTGCGCGTAGGCTGCCGCAAAAGTGGCCAATGAGTGCAGTTCGTTTTTTTTAATGTGAGCGTGAGCGTGCCTCTCTGTGTAAGTGTGTGTGAGTGTCGTGCACAGGTTGAACAGTTTCGTGTTAAATGTGGGCCAGCGGCGACAACAACAAACAGCGACACAAATTTCGCATAATTGCATAGAAATTTACAGCTGTCCAGCGAAAAGCGAAAGGTAAAAGTTTGTTTTATTTTTGTTTTTTATTATAATATTATCTTTGGCTGCTATTGGGTTAATTTGCATAAATTGTTCACATACATACATACACATGCATGTGTGCGCGTGTACAAAAACATCTGAATGCGTGTCGAAGACAATAACAAAACAAAAACGAGAAAAAGAAGCAGCAGGCATTACAGTTGCGTCTCTCTCTTGTCTTCTCTCTCTCTCTCTCTCTCTCAATCTTTGGCTCTACTTCTGTCTGTTAACCTTTAGGCGGGCGCCTGCATGTTTGACAAACAATGCACGTCTTACGGACTGCATGTATGTGTGTGTGTGTGTGGTAGTATGCGGATTTTCTGTTGTGCTGCTTGGTAATCCATTATCTAACTCTTAACAGTTGCTTAACACCCGAAAACGCTGAGCGCAGCGCATTCCAGTCAGCAATGGTCTGACGGCGCTCTCACAGCCAGTTTCGTTTTACACTTCACACGCAGTTGCTGCATTCACATGCACACACACATACAAGCATATGAATACATATGCACGYACGCACACGTCTGTTATTGTTGACGTTTTATGTTGTTGCTGTAACATTATCATTTTAGCACAAATTGTTTCTGTGCCCAATAGCCTATACATAACTGCTTATCGGTCCAGTTCTGCAAAGTCGAAACAGAGATAATAACAGTGAGACATAGGAGTGTGTGAGCGAGCGAGCGAGCGACAGAGTGTGCTGGAACAAAATGTTAAACTTTAAACGGTGTCATCCGTAATCGCTAGCCCTTTCTCTGTCACTCCTACGATAACTTTCCAGCACAGTGTCCACCTGTTGCTGCAAAATGGGGCAGAACAGGCGCCGCTTTGGCCATGGGGCAAAATTCGCATTCTGCTTCTCGTTCTCGTTCTTGTTGTTGTTGCTGTTTTCTGTTGTAGTTGTGTACGCGGTTTTTTAACTTTTTTAATTGTTTGGCAATTTAAACAATTATAAACATATTAACTCTGATGCTGTTGTTGACGGCTGACACACATTCTATATCGTATAATACATATGTATTATAGAAGTATTGGTATGTATGTTATGTATTTGTATGTACATCTGAACATATTTGTGTGTTGCTCTGTCAAATTGTTTTGCCCTTTGGCAAGTGTCATCAAGAGTTGAGCTCGCAGTTTGATAATCGTTTATTGATATTGTTAATCATAACGGTATACAATATGTATGTATGTATGTTAGTGTCGGACTCTCTCTAAAGAATATCTATAAGCAGATATTAATTGGTTGCCTTTTGAGTGTTTGTCTATGTAATTATATTTTGACAAAATCAAAGCACACAAAGAAGAAAGTTTAACAGTGCTTACATACATACATRTGCATATGTAATCATGCATATGTATTCATGCATATGTATATGCTTACGTTTGTTCTCACTGTAAATTTCCATCATTCGCATTGGAATGCCTTTGTATCTTTTGCAATGCGAGATGGCTGCAAATCGAATCGAACCGCAGTTACAGGGTATTTATATGTATATAGACATGGAATGAACAAGTTGTCATTCTTTTAAGCTGCACACACAAGCGACTCGTTCAACTTTTCAACTTGTGCAAACAAAGCACATCCAGCTCCACAATTGCAGACAAAGACAACAAACAAGCAACAACAACAACATCAATCTGTACGGCTGACAAGCCCAAAAACCAGATGGGTCAGCATTCGCGCGACACGTTGCCTTCAAATGAACAGCGTATTGAAGCAAACACATACTCACACACACACACACACACACACACACACACATGCATACGTACATACATACATGTGTATGTGTTCATGTTTAACTGTCTATGTAGTTGCATATCAGCTTTGTTATTCTTTGTCAGCTAATCAAGCAACGCATGCGCCCCCTTGATCTTTTACTCTCCCAATCCCTCTCACTCTCGCTCTCTCTCTCTATGTGTCTCTCTTTCCCACTCGGTTGTTGATCATTCGTTCGCTCTCTGAAGTGCATTCAAATGCTATGTGCGCCGGCGCGTGTATAAATCAAATCAAAATCGTTAAATCTACGACAAAAATGTTGTTGGGCCACTTCACTGCATCGATAGGATCGATAGTAACAAGTATGTATCGAAAAGTGTTCAAATGTATCGATGGCAAGCATTAAGAAATCACTTTAATGACATGACCCAGTGAAGGGTTAATGTAGAAGGAATTGTTTAATTCAAAATATTAGGCAATTCTATATATTATGTAATATAGATGATTTTTGTGGTGCCTCCTTGCACAATTGAACTTAAAACTAATTCAAGCAGTCCAGCATTTATGACTTGTATTATTTTAAAGTATAAATCTAGAAATACATAAAACATGCAACATTATACTAATAATACAGTAATACAGTACAGCATCGTGGCAGTACAACAGTTCAATAATATCAGTATAGCACCATAGAAGTATATCAGCATATCAGACAAGGCAATAATATAACAGTAATGCAGTAAGACAGTAAGACAGTTTGAAAACAGTATTACACAGAACTGGATGGCTGTATAACAGCATAACTGTATGAGACTAGAACAGTATAACAAAAGAAATGACAATAACTGTCTCAAGTCTAATTACGGGGTATCATAAATGAAGTTGATATGCATGAATACTCAGAATGACATACGTATTTCAGTCTAGTGCTATCGCACATAGTATATACTGTACAGTGGAGCATCGTTAGTTCACGTCACGTTCGCACTCACATCCCATATACAGTTGCTCGGAATGCAACTTGAACTCCTGCGGCATCAGCGTTTTTATTCTTAGCCGGACATGCCGGCAGATAAACACGAATGGTATCAACACTCAGAACGGACTACTACGAAATTGTTTATTCATTTATGTATATGCTTGCCTTTGCATACATACATAACGTATGTACATATGTGTATGTATCTACATAATTGTAAGCCATGCGGATGATTCACAATTGGCAACAGCGATAGCACTATGCGATGATAACAACAACAAAGATCGCCACCAGCGAGAACAATCAAATGGAAGGGCAAATGATTCATCCGCCGCTGTCCCACTAGGCGCGTACATAGGCCGTCCTCAGAGGCAGAGTCTACTAAATTCCAGTCTAAGCGAACTAAGCACAGCGCACAGAGCGCAAAGCAGCTCCGACGAACTGTTCCCATTCGACGAACGTTTCGGAACATGCGGAACCACGCTCAATTAGTTCCCATACTAATAATCACGAAAATAATAATAAAGTTTTTATATGAAACTGCGAATTTCGCCAGAAGATGACTAAGGGGCCTTCCGAGTGCTTACATATACTATGTATATTATGTTCTCTTTGTGTCAATTAAACGCAAATTATTGGATGACAATCTCAATTGCAAAATGCATTGCACAGTAATTGTATTCAGGACTCTCCATAGTAAAATTATTAATCAAACTTGTATATATGTAGTTATATTTAAGTATATAATGATTCAGCTCACTTTGATCTAGTCGAAATACATATGTATATGTTTCATGTGTATCTCTATTATAATTATAATTATTATATGCGCTTTCTTGTAACTTAAACTGAAGAATATGCGCCGATAGTTCACACTCAACCTGTATCTATCGATTTAAAAATTTAGGTTTGATCTCCCATTCCTCAATATTTACTTTCAAGCTGCTACAAATGGGTGTTTTTTCTTCTTTTTAATGAGTTTTTCGCTTACACTTGTGCATTTGTGTAAATAATTGAAATTTCTCAGTCAATTTTGTTCAGCGTTACATGTACTATATTAGTAGTTGTTGATAATACAAATGTTCAACAGCTGATAAGTTACAGCAATCGACGGGTTGAGTCGAGTCTCCTTCTGTGCGCCTGGCTCAGCGTATGTCGCGCTGATAACAATGCTCTGATTGTACAGCTTGCGCTTACAATCTTTCATCTGACTCGAGGGCACTGGGTAAATGTTATAAGCAATATGTTGAGAGAAAAGAGAAACGATATATCCAAAATTATAGGGTACTGAGCAACGTCTCAACGTCTCTCTAATATATTATAATGAAGTTGGATATATCTATAAAGATATGTACCTTGGTATATAAATGTAGTCATCAAAATAGTTGTACGAATGAGCACTACTCTTAGGCATGCATGTAAATAATCTCTATATGACTACAAATCTCTGAATCTTCTCAAGAGTCTAAAGCGTATAGAGAAAAAAGAGATTAAAGATGATATAACAGTATAGATGCCCATCTCGAACATTAACTGCTCTGTCGCACGACTACTTTCATGAAAACAGCTGCATATATATATGTACATGGATATATAGATTATCATTTACCTGGTATTTCGGGTGGAAACTGTGGCAAATACACATTTTCGCTAGGCAAACATCTCATAATCCAATATTTAATAGTCGTACGTCTATGTATACAAACCTTGGGGTCTAAAGCCACAAATTTCGATTATAAAGACAAACAGCCCGATGGGCGGGGTTGCTTGACTAACAATAAAAAGGAATTTTTTTTTTTAATAATTATATTCATGTGAATATAGATTGATTTTATATAATATAATGGGCGATTAGAGATTATATGATGATGAATTTGACATGCGCCCAATAACGGAAGAGATTTTCTATTTAGAGCAATATATTATATTATATATTATATTGATTAGAGCTCAGATCTCGACATCGTAATCGCAGTTGATCTAGCTCAGTTTTTTGTATGTTGAATTTACAAAAACAATTGGCTTATTTAAAAAAAAAAAACTTCCTATGTACAGAGCCCCCGTCTCTATGAATAGTCTGCATCGTTAAAGGGACGACAACTATAGATATGTATATAAATATATTCATTGATATAGGTATATCCTCAACACTTCAGCTCTATATATATATATATATCCCATATATATATATGTATATATATATATCCCAAGTGTGCCTTAGGAATCTCCCACTAAATCAACTTTTTACCAGACATGCGATAAGTGCAAGATAAGGAAATACTTCTGTAGCTACACTCGTTCCGCTTTTGTCTTTAGTCATTTACTCATATAATGTATATATATATGTATATGGATAAGTGTATATAGTTCTGGTATATCCAGAACACAGAGTAAACGATATACAATATTTTTAAATATATAATATTATATTATGTTTGTGTGAACTGAAGCGATGTCATGTGAACTTGAACCACTTTAGTATGAGTCTCTCATGTGTCCCGCCTTGTGCTGAATATTGGCTTTCGTCACATATGCAAGGAATTTGATATGACATTCGTCAGAGCTGCAGAATGTGCAATGAGGTATAGGGGAGAGCAGGCAATTGCTGCGAGTGCGCACTAATAATGATATATCACAATTGTCTGGAGAGACAAACTGGGGAATGGTTAATGAATTTAACGAGCTGCCATTCATGCCTTATTTGTGATTTATAATTGTCGCAATATCGTTCTCGTTGTTGCTGTTATCGCAAAACTGTAAGTGAAGCAGCACAGCTCCATGCGATACACAGTCTATATATACGATATATGTATGTATACAATGCTTATATACATTTGCAGAGCCATTGATTCATTGGATCGTAAACCAATTGCCCAAAGCAACTTTACGATTAATCATTCGGCGAACTTTATTCGATTGAGTGGGATGGCTAGATTGATAGAGATGGATATCTTGGAATGAGTTCATAGAAATTGTCGCCCACTCTGAAGATGTTCCGAGCGTTGTCAATCTATTCATCTTCAACTCTCCCTTCCAGGCAGATGCACGGCCATGTGCATCCACTTATATAACTTGTTGCACAGAGCAACAAGTTTATTAAACATTGTAAACAAAATCATTGAGCCAGATGCCCAGAGCAACTTCCATTTGAAGCCACTTAAGCAACAGCAACCGCAACAACAACAATCGCATTAGCTTTAGTCGTCCGGTCCCCGGTTCCCGGTTGACAGCTCCAGATAACAGCTCACAGAGCCGGAGATATCCAGAAATGAAATATATAGCAAATAGTTGATGGTGCTGATAAACTACGGCAATCGCCCTAATCTATATGAGTTTAGGCTGTGTGGACAAAGTGAATGATCCCTATAAAAATGTTGATACAAATTACAGAATTACAACCGGCTCGCTTCGCATTGAATTCCATAAGTTATTTGCACGCTGTAATGCCTGAACTGTTAAGCGAATGCTGTGAAGGAAGCGCTGTTAAGTTAACAGTAGTGCATTGAAATATTCGGATTCTTTTTTCTATTCCCATAAACGAATATCAAACCATCTGCATAATATACCATACAATATATATACATATACTCTAATATATATATATACACTATGCACCATCTGTGCTGCTTTGTTTTCGATTTATATCCATCTATCTATGCATATGTATGTCTTTGTATGTATGTGCATCTTAATGGCGATTCGCATTGGCTTTCTTTGTGAATTGGCCAAGTTAAAGTGTCATTAAAGACTCTTCATTTTTTTTGCACAAAGAAAGAGAGTGGGAGAGAGACAGACAGCGATCGAGCTGCACTGTGAGGGGATCGAGATGAAAGCGGAAAGTGAAAGCTAAATGGACAATTAATGATGCCTATCGCCTATCGACAGCGATTGCTGTGTTTCAAATTAGCCCATTCTGTATTGGCTGAGGGGAAACACGTGTCTATCATTTTTGTCGAATGTTGGTTTTCTTTCATTCGCTTCTGTCTCTATTCATCTCTATTGACCTGGCCATTTCACTTTGTTGGCATAGGGAACTAGATGATGCCCTCTAGTTAGCAATCAGTTGAGGTTCATATAGATATAAATGGACATTCTTGTACTCGATCCTGTTTTAGAGCTGTCCATTGATGGTAAAATTGAAACTATCTAATCTTTGTTGATCGATCGTCTTACTTGGTGAAGAGCTGAAATAACTCTTGGGAGTTAAATGATACATCAGTGTAGTAGAAAGTAATATTGCATAATTTCTTCATGATATATGTCTTATTGCTTAAATTTTATATTGATGAAAATAAATTGATAAAAATTGATTGACAAATTGATTTGAATACCACCAATCTCCGTTAAAGTAAAGAATTATTAAATTCAGAAAGTAGATTTTATTTAACTAGCTTTATCTTAGTATTTATAGGAAATGAATCAACTTAAATTCTTATATTTAAATTAAATACAAATAATCGATAGTATCAATTGTTATAATTATCGTTGGGATACCCCATCGAGCGGACCAATTGCTAATAGTTTTACAGTTGGAATATGTAACATATGCCTGTTCACACTTAAATTCATTCATGATTCAGTACAATAAGTATTTCCTGAGAGCAACATTCTGTTTGATATATCTAGACAAGATATATTTATAGATCAGCGCACTTTTACGAACTGACTCAGTAATTGATGCTGACTAAGAATATATACCTATGTCGTATATCTTCAGTCTGCATAAGATACGAAATTTCCATTTGAATCTGTATCTTTAGGCTCGTCTTCAGATAGATCAACTGGTCAACTATTATCTAATTTGATTTGATTTAGATCTGCTTCAGTAGATTTCATTTGTTCCTGTAATTAGAGACTCTTACTGAAGGTATTTTCAAATTGCTCTCACATGTATATAATCACTATATATGTATATATATTCTATATATAGCGATGTGTCTGTGCAATGTTCGATAAAGTGCACTTTCATTCCTTGGCATCCAGCTGATAATTGCGTATTTCGTTTGTTGTTTTTGCTGCTTTATTGGTCACTTTGTCAGATCTTCTAGTATGATAATTTCCACTTAAATATGCTAAACTTAAACTACTTAAGAGATAAACTGCGTACGAGCAGAGTGCGCCTACTTGCTCAACTCGAACTCGAGTCGCCGTCGCGCCAGCTCTAGCCTCAGCAGACGCCGCTGCTCCAGCTGCTGCAGCTGCTGTTGCACGAGCAGTCGATGCAGCAGCTCCACTTTCTCATAGCCCGTCGTCGTCGTCGCTGTCGCCGTCGTCTTCGTCTGGCACTGGGCGGCGCGTGGGCGACGCAGCTGCTCTGTGGTCTCGAGGGCCCTTGGCAGCGACTGCATCGTTGTCGTCATGGCAGCACAACTGAGAATCGTACAGAATAACTGGAAAAGCAGGCAGCTCAGCAGGGTCCACAAATTGCACTGACTAGCAACGTGTTGCATGCTACTGCACTGACTGGATTGTGTTGAATGCGCTCCTGCCACAAGCTAGAACACATTTTATACGCAACAGGTACGCAACTGGCTGAAACACCGTCCCTGCCTGTTGCCTAATCCCAGCCAATCGAGCCCTTAGCTCCATATGGCTCAAGGTCGGCACAGGCAAAACCCAAAAGGCAAAAGCCATAAAAACTTTGACTTTATTTCAAATACCCAAACTACCTTTACGAGTCTTTGAGGAATCCCATGACATTTGCAAGTTTTAGATGTTTCCCAAATAATTTATTTTATTCACAATAATAAATATTTATTGACAAAGTATTCGTATTATATATTTATATTTATTTTATATATGCTACTTATTTGTATATATTAATAAATATATTTAAAATGCATAATTTATATGCTGTCATATTATCAGCAATACTTTTGCCAATATGTATATAACAATGTATATATCTAAAATAAAGCAACGCACAATCCTAGCGACATATATAAAATTAGACAAACTTCCACCCATTGACAGCATCAACTAATAAACTAGCCAAGTCCCTAAAATGTTATAGCTCAGAGTTTTAACGAAAATAAATTTAAGGCTAAACAAATTTACCTAAGCAAAAATAAAAATAAATCTAACTTATATCTACCAGGGCAGTTCATTAACTACATATTGACAACGTCACTATCGCTAGAGAACTGTCGATTAGTATATATAGAGATAAGAGCTTTGTAATATACTTTATCATCTATCATATAGCCATAGAGTTACATGTGTACATAAGTATGTACATACATATGTATATGTATATGATATATCATTTAACTATAGCATGTATACACTTTTATATATGATAGATGATAAGGTGAATGACACAGTTCATATCTTTAGCTCTTACGGATATAGACAGAATTATAGAGTTGAGTAGTCATTGTATAGTTGACGTATCCCAATATCAGAATATCTGAATATCGAAAGCATCAAAATGAAATTAGGCAGAATGAAGCGTGGCTGACCTCATAAAGTATATATATATTCTTGATCAGGATGATGAGTTGAGTTAGCCATATTCGTCTGTCCGTCCGTGGGTATAAATATATATGTATATATAGATGTATTCTTGTATACCCTACGCTTATTTTGCTATTACCCATCCCATTTGATGAGTAATGGTAAAAATTGATTACGTAAACGTAAAAGCTTATGTAAATTAAATTTTATTGTATATATGTAGTATATATGCGATATTTGCTTTGCCTAAGTCCGTCTTTTGTATATATCAAAATTTATGCTTATGCGAAACTCTTTTCGCTCTTTGATCTGCTTTTAGTCCTTGGCCATGGAGAAGGCGGGCACGCAGACGCGTCCAGTGCCGGCGCCGCGTCGCCTCTACCCGGAGATTCGCGCCGCCAACTATGAGAATATTGAGATCAATGTGGGCAGCAATACGATTAATCGCAGCCCAGCGAACGGAAACAACATCAACAGCAACAACAACAACAACAACAACATTGGCATCTGTAGCAATAGCAATAGCAATAAGAAGAAGCTCAACATAAACGCAGAGAATCTGCACGGCGGCTGCGCGGAGAAGAAGCTGCCGGCCAGCGGGCAAAGTAAACTGATACTGCAGGAGCAGAACGTGGAGCAGCCGATCTATGGGCCGGATGCCAATGAGAATGTGCCTGCCGAGCCGTTGTATGCCACTCCCAGGCCGGCGCCCAGGCAGCGAGCGCGGGCTGAGCTGCTGCCAGCGGCTGAAGAGGAGGAGGAGGAGGAGAGGAAGGCGGCGGTGCAGGAGCAGCAGCGACCGGCAACAGCAGTGCCTTTGGTGACACGTGCAGCCCCACAGGTGCCATCGAAGCCGCTAAACATTGAGCTGGATCGCCGGAGGCCCGAGCGCTGCTCCATCTCCAGCGAGTTCTCCACGACGAGCGTCAGCGGTGCGAACGGTCAGCTGGAGAACGATTCCCGGTACACGTCCAGTGGGTCGCTGAACTGCAGCGAGAGCTCGCAGAGCGGCAAGTTCAAGTCGCCGTCACCCGGGTACGTAGACGAGGGCGAGCAGGTGGCTGAAGATCAAGAGCAAGATCATGGGCGTGATCTTGAGGGCGATTACGAAACGAACACGGAAACAGAAACAGAAACGGAGGCAGAGGCGGAGGCGGAGGCAGAACGTGCCGCCTCGTCCGATCAGTCGGAGCTCTCCGCCAGCTGTGACGATGACAAGTAAAATTTTATCTACAATTTTCCATTTGTTTTTTAACTCTTCTCTCTCCGAATCTCTGGTGCCTTTTTTTTTTTATCCTTTTTTGCTAACGGTATTTCCCAAATTGTTTTTTATTTGACTCGCACCCACCCTCTGTAACTCTAAGGTATACGAATTGTTTCATTTTGTTTGGCAACTAACTTAAAGTAGTGGTTCGGGTCCGGTAAGTAACCCCGTAGAAACGCTAACCGAATCATCCAATCGCCGTGCACCACAAATTTCCCCTAAAAGAAATGAAATACTGAAATACCTTGGTTATGGACTCAATCACAATTTGTGTACAGCTAGACATGGGTAGAAGATAGTTGAAAGCACTGTAAATTAATGACATCCATGGAATCCCAAAGATCTCTTACGATTTATTTATATCAATATAATAATATTCTATACAATCCTATACTATCTGTACATTTCTAAGATCATAGGTTGGATCTCTTTAAATACTGCCTAGTTTTGTATGATAACAGCTCTAAACACTGTAAATTGCCATACCTGACATAATTTGATTAACATAAAAACAATTATATGAATTAACATGCACTTTGACAAGAACTTTAGAAACTAAACCCGAATACATTTATCCTGAGTTTTTGTTTGATGTGTGTGTGATTGATTCTCGTTATTTCTCTAAGATATTATTGCAAATTGTTAATTTAACTTGCATTTCTAGTAGTCCTCCTTATTTTCCTGAGTCAGATGGGTTAGATTCGTATAATCGATGAATAAAATATATATCGTATATGCTCGTTTCATTTATTCAACAACAATCCCAAAACTCAACTGAAAAGTTCTTTAATATTTTTTTGACACGTGCCAAATATTTCTATCTAGTTCTAATAAACCAATCCCAACTGAACAAATGTATCTGTTAGGCTAAAATATTGCATACAGAAAAATCTCTAAAAATCGAAATTCTATTAGATTTGAAACACTATTAACGTCAGAGATTAAGAAAATGAGAACAAATATCAGAATATATTTATATATATGTAAATATCAGAAACGAGCACCTCTCAAAAATTGGTTTACACTCGATATATTATTTTACCGAAACGTTGGGAAATGCAATATGAATATTTGGAATTCTGGTATCCGGAATAAATTTCTTTGTTTGTAGAGCAGCAAAAATTGGAAACTTATTGTTTTAATTACGATCGATAGTAATAGTCGTGTTGCGATCTTGCTCCATTCTTGACCCTGGGTCATTGATCTGGCAAGTCAAATGCCTTAGCCTTACCACAGCTAGAGACAGGCGACAGCTGAAACTGTTTAAGGAATCTCAGCTCCAATTGCCCAAATCTGGCACGCTACACACACTTCACTATCTCTGTGTGTGTTTGTGTGTGTGTGTGTGTGCAGCTGATCTGCCTTAAGACTGGCTGGCTTGAGGCTCTATTGTACGCTCTATTTATAGCGTCCCCTGTGACTTTTGGAACTCGAACTTCCGCCGACGCATTAATCACACTCCTGTCGGGCGCATCCAGAAATAGACGCCCGCCGATTGCCATTTCAAGATCAATGACAAGAGATCTGTGGGCTCCGCTTCGCACGATCTAGTTCCGTTCTTCGCCCCGGCTAGTTGTGGAGTTTAGTTGGGGCTGAGCAGTTGGGCGCGAATGTTCGATAGCGAAGTGTAGCTGTTATCTGGGACTAACTGTTTATTTTCTTAGTTATCTTTCTACTAACCCCGAATGGACTCTGGGCGACTTTGATCTATTCAAATGAATAACGGAACGAATTAATCTGAATTTATCGCAGAAATTTGCTACGTTCGCTGGGCAACACGTCGAAGCTGCTCGGCGAGGCGATTGGCGAGCGGGTGGCCTTCAAGGCAAAGGGCGCCAAGAAGCGTCTGGACAAGAATCTGAAGAGCTCCACGGAGGCCATAAGCAGTCTCAGCGCCGACGCCAGCAGCCGGCTGAAGCACGCCGGCAAACGATTCGGCTCCAATTTCTCGCTGGGCAGGAGGGAGAAGACAACGGGAACGGCAACAGGAGCGGGAACGGGTGCCTTATCCGAACTGGAGCAACAAATGGAGCTAGACCGACGCTGCACCATGCCCAACACGGACGTCTTCAACACGATTCAGTTCAGCAGTCCGCTGCACCGCAATGCCGTCGGCGGTGCCCACACGGATCTCAGTGGCGCCGGCGGCGACGGCGTCGTCCGATATGAGAAGCAAACGTGTCCCGATGAGCAGGAGTACGAGGTGCCCAAGTCCAAGGCGAAACCCAAGATCAAGTCCAAGCCGCCCAGCTACGATGAGGCGCTGCGCTCTCGTCCCGCGCCCCATTTGCCGCTGGCCAAGAATCTGGCGCAGGAAGCCGCTCAGGTGGTGCAGTTGCGCAATCCCCAGCCGCAGCGGCAGTCCAGCAGCGGCGACTCCACGGGCGAGGAGCTGCCCATGCCGACCTTTCCTGCGCCGCGCCTCTCACAACAGTTGGACGCAGTGCAGCCGCCGGCGCGCCATAAGCGCCGCAAGAACTACGAGAACATCCAGCTGCGTCGGCCCAATGTGGACTCGGCCGAGCTGCAGGAGCTCAACCGGGTAGCAGCCGTGGCCGAGCGCGAGGAATCGCTGCTCATCTCTGCCAACATCGCCGCCGAGGAGGCCCGTGCGCCCAAGCCCGAGCGCAGCGATTCCTGGCACTTCTACGGCGACGCAAACGACCCCGACCCTGACCCCAATCGCCACCCCGATGGGGAGCCAGAGCCAGAGCTGGAGACAGGCGCGGAGTGCGACTCCTGCTCTTCGCCAGAGCCGCTGTACGCCAACCATGAGGCCACCTACGGCAAGCTCTGCGAAATGGGCACCAGCAGCACCAGCCGCAGCAAGCTGCTGACGCCCCAGGTGGAGCTGGCCTGCATCAGCGAGGACGGGGAGCTGGACAGCAACGATGGCGCCGTTGGGGGCTGGTCGTCGCCACCGCCACAGCCGCCGCCGCTGGAGCTGATCGAGGAGTTCGATCCGCTGATGAGCAAGTGCTCGACCCTGGCCCGCTCCAACAAGAGCAACGAGCTGCTGCTGCTCGAGCACCTGCTCGAGGAGGACACCTACGGCACCATCAAGCGCGAGCAGGACGATGTGAGCATGTGCACCTCCGAGGAGGATGGCCGCAACGAGGCCCCTGCCGCCAATGGCAATGGCAGTGGAGGACCCACGACATCAGCTGCCGCTGCTGCGGCTGCAACTGCGACAGCAGCACGCAATCAGCCGCAGATTGTGCACCAGAATGCGCAGCTGCTGAGCGACAGCATGGAGAACATGCTGGATGACGCGGACGCACTGGACGTCTCGGAGCTGCGCGCCCGGCCCTACCTCAGTCGCGTGGAGGAGAAGCCAGCGGCCAACCAGGCAACTGTGGACCTGGCAGTGCCGTCGCGCAATCGCACCAATTGGTTCGTGGGCGACAAGGCCCAGGCCCCGGCGCAGGCGCATATCGAGGGCGACAGTCCGCCAACCTACTTGGAGGCCATTGGGGGCGACGGCCAGCCCGTGGCCAGCGCGGCGGCAAGCGGCAGCAGCTCGGAGTCGCGAAACACGTTCGGCTCACGGTTCCGGCAGACGATGAACGCCTTCTCCAATGTGAAGCTACGCGTGGACGCCATGAAGCGGCGGGCCAGCTTCAAGGCCGCCGCCCAGCGGCAGTCGGATGTGAAGGTGGCGCTGCAGATGGTGCCCAGGCCGAGCCTGTCGCCGCTGCTGGTGCGCTACGAGGGGCCCCTGGTGCGATTCCCGTCGGGCGTCGTCGAGGACATACTGAAGGAGATGCAGAACCGCAAGGCCATATTGCGGGATCGACAGTTCCAGACGTACCTCGACCAGGAGATGAAGACGCCCAAGGAGCTCATTCCCCTGGAGACCATCACGACGATACAGTGCGTCAGCAATAGCCGCGTCACCGACAGCGCGACGCACTTCTACTGCTTCGAGCTGACCACGTCGCAGCCAAAGAACGGTGCCAGTGGCGTCGATGGCATGTCCTCCAATCCCAATCTCCTGATGACGAGCAACAACTGCGGCAACGTGAAGCAGCTGCGCGTCGCCCATCTCTACGGCGTTGGCAAAGAGTCCGAGCGCGGCGTCTGGATGCAAAAGATACTCGAGAGCCTCACGAACATTGTGCCCGTGAAATACACCTGCCACTACTATCGCGCCGGCTGGTGCTACTTAAAGGTAAGTCCCCCACTCCCCCACATCCCATCTCGAAACCCGTGCAGCTAATCGAATTACTTGACTTTGCAGAATTCCATCACCTCCGAGTGGAGCGGCACCTGGCTGGTGCTGCGCAAGAGCCAGCGTCGCCTCATCTTTGTCAGCGAGTCCAATGGGAATGTAGAGAAAATGGACCTGAGAAAGGCGCGCTGCATAGGTGAGATCAATTAAATACCCGAGAGTTTAGTTCAGTTGGGCTTACTGCATATGAGACTGCCGTTACCAGGAACTGTAAAATATGGAGAGGGTCGAGCAAACGTAATCACTCGATGTTCTTTTTAATGTCGAACAATTGTTCTGCTTGAGAAATTTGTTTAAATTTCATTCCAAATTATATCAAGTCGAGAATTCCAGCATTGAATACATAGGTTAGGGGGAGAAAGAGATTTAGGGTTTAGAAAATAAGGGAAGAGTTTATAGGACCACGACTAAATTTTTGTTTAAGCCCAGACCCATAGCGGAAGGCCTTGAGAGAGCTAATTAAGTCATTTCATCACTCATGCCATAACTTCTCGTATTCCTCATGCAAATTCACCTAATGGGCTTTCCGAGTCTGGCGCTTGTTGGCGTAAACTCCATAAAAGCAAGTCTGGTACGGTATATTCAGGTCATCTGATCGACCAAAAACGCGAGTTTAAGCAACCCGGAAATGCTGCCTTCATTTTTCACTCCGCACTCTGCGGAATAAATATTTCCCTTAAGGTACATAATTACTTTTGCCCCACCCTGTAAATGTGTGGAAAGTTCAGGAAAGAACTTACTGACAATATATCAGACATGTAATCTACGGAATTTATCCCACACAGATATTATCCTAGAGCTGTCAGCTTCAGATGACTTCGACTTGTCCACTCGAGGCTAATAGAACTTTATTTCATGTGTCTTACAAAAGTAACTGTTTAAATCACCAAATCTGGCGTTAGAGTTACAATTTTGGAGTCGCCAACGATCGTGCTAATGGTATAACCATATTGATAAGATTTCGTTGTAGTTTGTTATGTTATAAATGCCCTACCTAGTCGATAATGTTGGAAAAGAAGAAAACAAAACAAAACGAAAATATGATTGATTTGACAAATATTAGATACAGCTCGCCGAGATAATAGATACATAGAAAGAAACTCACGTCCATTGTCTTATCAATAGTTTATTTGCTAGCGGCAGCCGGAATGAGTCAAGAACCGAGCATCGATTAAAGAGGCGACGCCTTCGCCCTCTCACTTCAATTCGATATTCACCTCTTGCTCTTGTCGTTTACAGTTCTGAAAGAGAACGACGAGTCGATTGACAATCTGCACGTGGAGAGCGGGCCAATCCTGATGATCGACTGTCCGCCGTACGCTGTCTACATGATAATGAGCTCGGCGCGCGAGACTAAGATCTGGCGACACATCATCCGGGAGGTGGCGCACAATAACGGCTTCTCCCTGGGCGATCAGCAGCTGACGCGCTACGATGTGCCCGTGATTGTGGACAAGTGCATTAACTTCGTGTACATCCATGGCTCCATGTCGGAGGGCATTTACCGGAAGTCGGGCTCCGAGAACTCCATGCACAAGCTGATGAGCGCCTTCCGTGCGGACGCCTTCAACGTGGAGATCACACGGAACGAGTACAACGAGCACGACGTGGCCAACGTGCTGAAGCGCTTCATGCGCGATCTGCCGGAACGGCTGCTGGGCAAGCTGACGGACAGCTTCGTGTTTGTCACCGAGCTGGCCGTGGCCAGCGAGAAGATACCCATCTACAAGGAGCTGCTCAGCCGGCTCAGTACCATCGAGCACGAGACGCTGCGGCGCATTGTCGGCCATTTAGTGTTCATCAGCTCGCAGCAGAGCAAGAACAAGATGAGCGTACAGAATCTTACCATGATATGGGGCCCCACGCTGCTGGCCAAGAAGGTAAGGCCACAGATCCGCTTCCACTTTGCCATGTCATGCCTAAAATGTTGCCTCTTTCTCCACAGAGCGACGAGCTTATCTACTCCCAGAAGGAGGCCGATGTGCTCAGCGATCTGATTCTCCTCTACAAGAATCTATTTCCCTGCGGTGCGGAGGAAATGGTAATAAACTATGCAACGTTTGGTGCTTTTAAATTGTGATTAATTTTGTATTCTGAATATGACCACATATTGTACTTGTGACTAGCCGTCACATTAATGGATATATATTTGAGTATATAAACCGCAACGACAATGATTAAGAGAGCTCTAATCGTTGCTGGTCGATTGTTATATATCCTGAGATTGAATTCTCTTTGAGATACCCCTCTAAACTAGAATGAAAACTTGCCTGTAGTTCGATCTGTATGAATCAGTAAGAATTTTGAACTAGTTGTTAAGGGTATATACAGAATTTAAATCCTCATTCTTATTTAAAACTTCATCCAGTCATCGATCTATCAGTAGATATTGTGATATTGTAAATCGAATTACCTTATTTTATATAGATAATTTTAAAATCTCATAGCTCTCTATCTGAATGAATAATTAAACATTTTTAACTAGTAGTATGTTGTATAGTCGGAATTTAAATTCTCATCCAAAATGTTCTTTCGTGAGTTCTGCAAAGCTGCCAGATATTTTTGAGAAGCATCTGCAATAGTCAATTGCTATCGATATCTCAGTGGTCAGGCAATATTATAATAGTTATATTGCAAACCGAAATCTCTTATATTCTCTAAAGGTCATCGGAGTACTGAATCAGTACTACTGATTGTCAATTAATTTTAAAATATCACAGCTTTCCTATCTGTATGAATAATTAAGAATTTTGAGCTGGTGATATGTTCTTTATACGGTATTTAAGTCCTCATCCTCATTTAAAACCTCATCCTCCTTATTCAGTTATCGATCAGTCAGTAGATATTATGTTAGTTATATTGTAAGTCGAATTCTCTCCAAAGATAATCCTAAGACTGATTGCCAATTAATATATTGATTCCGCATTCTTTGATGTTTCTCCCTTTTAGAAAAAGGAGCAAGCGATGCTAATGTGCCTGCAAAAATACTATGCTGCCGCCGAGACACTAAAGGATGCTGTAAAGCAGTCGGGCGACATCAAGATCTGGATAAGTCTCAATCCCAACCCGGACAATACCACAGAGGTGAGCATATATTTAGCTTCAAAATTGGCCCAAGACCTTACCAAGTCCATATTTCCGTTTGCAGGAGAAGACTCAGGTAAATGCCACAATTTCGCCCACAAAGACCGCCTATGAGCTGTGCCGCGAATACTCGGCCAAGATGGGCCTGCCCACGCATCAGCTGACGCTGTACGAGGTCATACTGAACGACAGCCTGGAACGGCCGCTGCACCATGACACCAAGGTGTTCGATGTCATCCTGAACTGGTCCTACTGGCCGGAGGAGGATCGCAAGCACAACTATCTGGTGGTGCGGCCCATCGAGATGCTGCGCGAGGTGCAGCGCGCTATCAAGAATTTGGCAACGGTGACGCCTGGCAAGGAGCTGCGCTTCGCTGACTACCGCACCAAAACCTTCAAGCCGCTGCAGTGCGAGCTGCGCGACGGCAAAATTGTTGTCTCCAAGAAGGACAAGAACGACAAGACGAGCATTGTCCGCGAGATCTTTCTGCATAGCTCCACGGCGTACTTGGGATGCGAGCGCAAGCGCGACTTTCCCTGGAGCTGGGCCATCACGTTCGTGGAGCGCACTCAAGCGCAAATTATGCGGTAAGTAACGGAGCTTATCCATTTGGCTGCCAAATTACTGCTCTCCCCCTCTCTCTCACACACTCTCGCTGTTTCTCTTTGGCAGTTCACGCGATGCACCGTACATTGGACACGTGTTGGCGGGCAGCGAATGGGTCGATCGCACCATCTGGTATTCGAGCATTTGGTACTGTCTATACGGCGACAACATATTGCCACCCGCAGAGATTATCATCAAGTGAAAGCTGAACAGCCAAGCATTCGCTTGATTGCCAACCCAATCTGCCTGCTTCAGCATTTAAATGATAGCCAATCATGAGTGCAATTTTCCACTTTCTCATTCGTGCGTCAACTATTTTGTATGGCATACTCTTGGCCGCCAATTAACTATTAGACAGTCCGAAAAGTATGCAATACGTATATATGTTTGCAGAGCTCATTTGAAATGGAATTTGCAAGCATGGCTGATATATATTTTTATTACACCAATTTTTTTTTTTTATAGTTTAAGTATAGCTTGCAATATCGCTTAGCTCGTAAGCGCGTTATTTTGTAGATACTTGGAATTTATTTTAGCTACATGCATAGATACTTGTATACATACATACATGTGCTATGTATGTATATTATGTGTAAACGTATTTCGTATTTCTACTCAAATTCGATTTTCTCACACGATCGTGATAGCAAATGTACTAAGAACTTGTCAAGAGATATTTGTCATTTGTGCAATGCGAAGAATAAAAGGGACCTAGCCTAGACTAAACTTAGATGGTTTAATGCGTGCATACATTACACCAAAACTCTTAAATACTTCGAATAGCCATTCTTCTTTTAATTACTACTATACAGAGATAGCCTGCTCTCAACTTAACTTCCTAATCAGATCTGTGTACTTATGAGTAATCTGCCAAAATCACGATACATTCAATTCGAAATTTTACAGCAATCACTTAAAGCCCATGCCATTTGTCTTCAATGTAGCTAGTTCTCTAAAGGGAAAGCTCTTTCATCTAAAGATCAACTAGCATTCCGCTTAGCTTTTCTCTGTTCTTATTGCCTTTCCTGAATACTTATATTAAATACTTACCAATTATAAATATATGTATTTATATGACTGTCGAACAACATTCTGATTGTACGCACTGTAACCATATTGAAAGTTCGAAAAAAATAATCATATGATACACAACAATTGTTTCATTGCCAATGCAATATGATATTATATGAAAATAAAATATAAATTTATTAAATACATTGCATGATTGAATTATTTAATTAAATGAAATAGTTGCTTACCCTTGAAATGAAAAAGTAGTTGAGAATAAGGCTCAGTCAGCAGAGAAGTTTTTTGTGAGATGTTGACAATGGAATACTCTAAATTAATTTGGGTACACAAAAGCCTGAGAGACGTATTTAATACTATCTGAAACTCTTGAAAATTGCAATTGACTTTGTGAAGCTTTTGCGAGAAATGTATTTAACAGGCGGAGTCATGTCAGGCTCTATAAGGTATTATATATTTATATATCCAAGAGTTACCTGACTGATTGCCTATCATTCTAATTTAGTACTTTTAATCTGTGCCCAATAACGAATTCTTGGCTTGCTAAACAACGTGTTCTAGGATTTGGCATACACTCCTGGACCAAGTGACTACTCAGACAATTTCTGTCAGACTCCCTATATCTAGTCTCTTCGCTTATAGCAATCATCGTGACCCTATACGAATGTCTTCACTCAGCAACATTCGGGACTACGTTCTCAGATGGCTCTCTCTCGCACTGAGAATAGAGAAAAACAGAATAGAGATGCATAAATCTAAAAGACAAGCTCACTGGGATAATGCGAGCTAGTCAGACTCTCTCTAATACAATGACAACAGCAGGAGCCAATTACGACAAATTAAACAGATACAGAAACCCTTAAGCAACAACGACAAAGCGTAAAGCAACACAATTACGCACAATTACCTATTGACTCTGTTTTTTATTTTAAATTTAAAATATCATAAATAGAGGAGATAATGAAACTTGAAAGGTCGCAGTCAAATAAATATACGTTTTAGAATTTATCCCTTTTCAGGACATTTCATTATTATTCATAAAAATTGTTATTTGAATTTGACTTTTTGAAGGTAACTAAAATAACCCAAAAGCGAGAGAGTGGAAGTTTACTACGTGTAGGTTCCCAATGTAAATATGAGGCCACATCCATGATCTGTGTGATCCCATTGATACTTCAGTGTAGCTAACAAATTAAATCAACTAGTCAAGAAGGTTAGAGAAGCTCTTTTATAATGCTGAGTACTATTTGTATTATTAATCAAGTTATGAGCTCGATAAAAAGTTGTTCAGATTCAGCATCGCCAATAGAATTTTGTCCTCTTAAAAGTCCACTCCCAATAGGGAATGGTTCAGAGGGTAACTGCCAGTCGAATACTCCCGACGGGAGTACTCCTACCTGCTTTCTAATCGCCTTAAGATAATATGACACATTATAAAACGTAGCTAAGCAAATTTCTGGAAAACTCAAATTTAGGTCTTGCGCTAGTTGTTGGTCGGGTATTCCAAGAGTTGGCAATTGGTATGAGCCATAGCTGAGTAAACAATTTGGGATTTATGGCTGTTGACAGTCGGACGAGTGTGATAGAGGATCTTTCGAGATAAATGATGCGCTTGTCGTAAATGTCTAATTAGCATAGAAGAGCAAATACGAACTATAAAACATGGACTATGACTATGCGCAAAGGAAAAGAGCAGACGGCGCCACGCGCTTAGGCGCTATCGGGTGGGTCGGTTGGCTGAGCTAGGCGTGTGGCCCACATTATTTGCTTTTGGCCAAAAATAAAGCGCTGCGCACATTGTTTGCAATGGGCCATGGCCCACAATGCGGCCTCACGCCGCTGGCCGTCAAGGTCAAGTCCCACAGGCGCACACGGCAGGCGCGTGATCAGTGCAAACGGATCGATCGACCCACTTGCTCGAGATATGCGTGACATAGTCTCTCTCCCTCTCTCTCTCCCTCTCCCTCTCTCTCTCTATATATATATAAATTTATACACAAGCATTTTTGTGTTTTGCATTTGCATTGGGCCAACTTCCGTACAGGACGGCCTCGCTAGCGCCTACGCCGGCGGCATGCCGAGCGCGGGACATCTATTTGGGTGCCAAGCGAGACGACCATAAAATGTTGAGTGCGATTCGGATCGGAATCGGAATTGGAATTGAAATTGGAATTAAAATTAAAATTGCCATCGAAATCGAAATCAAAATCGCCATCAAAATCAGTGGCAATTAAATGCTAATGGCTAATGGCTCTGGCTCTGGCTCTGTCTCTGGCTCTGGCGCGCTTGGCAATTAGGCCGATAGACGGTGCGATAGCCGCAGTTGCATTCTAATTCAATTAGTAGCCGGCTTCTAAATGGGCTATAAATGAGCGGCATCTGCTGCAGCCGCACGACGTCCACAATGCTGCAGCTGCGCCGCACTGTCTGTCTGCTGCTCGCTCTGCTGCCGCTGCGAGCTGAGGTGAGCGAGTCTCTCTTAGAGAGTTCCATTGTAGCTTCGCCTTTGAATCTCAATTTGATTGGCAGCTGGCCACCTTCGATGTCTTCCTCGATGAGAACATCTTCCAGGAGTCCTGCGACCCCAAGGAGGACAGAGGCAACGTGGCCCTGAGTGAGTTGCTTGAAAACAACCTGACGAGTGTCATGATCGACGACACATCCTACATTACCGGCGAGTTCGTTGTCAAAGTCCAGCTCCCACCCGGCCGCATCAGGCTGGAGGCGGACATCAGGCGTCAGGACCGCGGCCGCTGGGTGCCCACGTTTATTTCCATCAAACGCGACGACTTCTGCAAATCCCTGTTCGATCCGTTCGAGCTCTGGCACTTCTTCATCATAACAAATATACCCAGAAGCCAGCGCATATGCCCACCGAAAAAGGGAGTGAGTAAATTATCCTTTTATGCAATCGTACACTTTATGGGAGTTGAGCAAGGGAATGGGATTAGAGCTAGAAGGGTCCTTGATCAGTAGGAATCAGGTGGGGGAAAAGGACTCGAGGGACCGTCTTTATACCCGGAAGACGCTATAGCCGTACAAGTGGGGACCAGAATTGTAATAATCGGATTCTACTGATTATGCTAACTCAGACGAGTTATATCTATAGATCAGTTAATACATATGTATGTATATTCCGATTAGTAACGGAATTTAGAGATAGGTTGGGGAACATTTTCTAAGAAGGAAGAACATTTTCTTTCACATATTATTTGTAATAATTTCTTTTTAAAATATAGAAAAATGTAATTAATATAAATATTTCACTACATAACATATATAATTATAATTTGTATATAGTATAAATGAGCGATCTATAGAATTCGTATTTTTTAAAGAGATCCATACATAGATAGAACAAGTAAGAAGGCTCCAGTCGAGACTGCTCGACTAGGAGATACCCTGAACCCTCCAAGCTCATATTCTACTCATTCTGCACTTCTTTTATGCACACATGCACACACATGCGTAATCATATGGTAATAATGTGTGTACATTCCAAAGCAACAGTTTCTAGTACTTGAAATGCGTTGATGATTTTCCATTGAAAATGGGCTCAGGGTATAAAAAGGAAGTTAAACAAATGGATATACTTACAATATATGACCCACCCAAGAATATAATTAATTTATTTATTGATTAGACATTCGAATTAATATAAAATGAAGACTAACTAGCTTAGGTACTGAGCAAGTGGAGCCTTCGACATCCAAGAATATTATAAACTGCGTATATAAATACAAATAGAGAGAGATTTAAGATTCTTACAGTTTGCAAGATATAATGAATGTGTATATATCTATTCTGTACATAAAAAAAATTATATTTTGAATATCTCCTCCTTATAATAGACCACATTAGCCTATCACCCAGCTATACACTATATATAAATGGTGTTTCTGTTTCCCTTTCTCGTTTGCTTCCAGCATGTTTATACCTTTCAGAATGTAAGCAATCGAATGCATCTGGAGAACATGCCCCGCTGGAACGTCTTGGGCAATGTCAAGGTTGTGATGCACTTGAGTGTTGGCAATCTGACGACTTGTGTGGCGCTCCACTGCACCGTTAGCGAGGATTAGGGCAACCACTTGTGCAAATAGTACACATGTAGTTCTTTTAGATGGGACATCAGCTCTATATATAGCCCGTGGATATGCACCATTTTGCTCGCTGGCTTCCCCGTTGGCAGCTTATTTGATGTTTGCACTGATTTAATGGGGCCGTATTATACTTCTATCTAAATTATATGCAAATAAACAAGATTTCATGTTCAGGTACGACAAAAATGCCGCGTAATTTGCAGCCAAAGTTCTCATCCGCGGACGCGATAAGCGGCCGTCGTACATATTCGTAATCCCAGCGAAACGAAATGGAACGCTCTGCTCCCGTAATCCCCGTTGCTATTTGCCCACGGCTCAGAGCCAGCACCATTTCAGCAAACTGAACTCATTCGCAGCGTCTATCTCTGTTCCGTTCCCATTCCACAAGTCGTTGGCGCGTGATGCCCACCAAACACCCGGAGAATTTATGACATCTATATTATTCTGGCAGCCTGTACTGATTCTATTGTACGGATTCCCTCGCCCATTATCTTGGCCATATCCACGTGGTAGTGCTAGCTGGCACTGCCATGGTCATGGCCATTGCCCCGAGGTCGCTAAGATCCAGCTAAAGGCCAGTTTACAGCAGATGAACCTGAACGGATGAATTCTGATCCCAGTACAGTAAAAGATCTAGGATGTTCAGTGAATCACTCAAGATACCTCCAAATTTTATCTTGGGCAATATAAATTATTTATTTATATAGACCCCAAAGTAATATAAATAATACATAAAGCCAGTTCCAGCACATTCCTTGATTCATTTATTTGCTAGGCTTAACATTCGCTAAGATCAGAATTTAAGACTATGAAAAAATTTCTGACACTGATAATGCTTAAATTTTAAATAAATAAAGTCGAGCAAAAAATGGGGAAAAATGAGTTGTCTCTTTTTAGCCTTGACCAAATGACTGTACTACATATATATCTATTTGGTTGACAGCGAGAAACTGTAAAACTTAAAATGGAATAAACAAAAATAAACTAGATAAAATATTTGCTTTAAAATTAAACAAAACACTTTGGGAGCGGGTGACAATCGATAATAATCGAAAAAAAAACTTAAGGCCGATGAATATGAATAACAGCTAGAAAGGGGCCAAACATTTTAAGTACATTTGTATGTATGTGCATGCATATATATGTATACGTAAAAATATAATATACCTATAATATACATATGTATCAAGCCGTTAATAAAAATAATTGTGTTGTAGTATACAAATCTTAATCTAAACGAAACTGTACTTTTTTCTTTAAGCAAAAAAAGAAATGAAAAACAAAATTCACTATTTTATTTTTCCTTTCATTTAGTTTTGATTTTTTTCATGAACAATTAAATTTTTGTTTTCATAATGTCATTTCCATATAAGATATATGGGATATACGGAGAACAGTATTGGCAAATTAATGATTAGAACAAACTGGTTGCTCTAAACTCCTTTCCTTAGACTAGTTATTCATTCCCTAATCAAAACATCATTTTTATGTACACATTTCTATAAATAAGAACTGTCGATCAACGAATGAGCGAAGGAAACCAGTTCAAGGAAAGGAATTGACTGCAGTCACCTTAATCTAAACACTAATTTGTCACTTCTGTTCCCTATTGCATCAGTTAATCCACTGCATACAGTAATAGGTAAATAATCTTTTCTGATAGACTAGAGCATACCCTGCAACTTGGCAAAACTACTCTTGCAAGTTTCTTTCAATATAAGTAAACAATAATATATTAATATATATAAATCGAAAATTAATATATTTGGTACAAATTATATATTCAAAAATTATTAGCTAAAGCTCAAATGCTAGAAAGGCTAAGCAAGTTTCTAAAGGCCTAGGTAAAATGTAGTTCATAATCAACAAAGCAGAAACCGTTAACTGTCCGCAGTATGCATAGTAGCACTTCCTTCCATATATTTCATTTATATACCTTGGATAGATTATTTGATGCAGCAATAGCTCTGTCATATACTCATAGATATATGGCCTGGCGAGTGTGTGGGTCGGTGCCTCTGTTTCGCAACGATAAAAATGAGTTGAGTAAATAGTTGAGGCTATTAAGCCTAAGCCCCAGCAAATAATAGAATCTATATGCACTTAGATTTTCGCCTATATTGTAAATATCAATAAATTTCGCTTACGTGACGTCTGATGTCTTCGCAGTCTATACTTAATTAAAAATTTACATATTTTACGTGAAACATGTGCTGCCTGATATTTTTTAATTTTCTCTAATGATAGGATAATGAACGTCTATTAGGTGCACCTATTATAGTCTAGAGTCTCCACAGCATAATATAAAGGAGATGGAGTATATCCATTTACTGCTCAGCCTCTCTGATTTAGCTATAAATAAGAAATAAGGTCATTATTATCATTGGACTGAGGTGGGTGAGCTCGCATTATGATCGTTTGATACACTTCAGAGTCTTTGCGCTGGAATGTGCCAGACTTCAAAAGTGATTTGTACGCATTTCGTCTTCGCTGGTATTTATAGGGTATTTGGTGGCATATACATTGGGCACAATGTATACAAAGTTAGTTGAGCGCATGAAAACAAGTTTAGTATACGTACCAGGTACGTTTCGCGACCTTAATATGAATGCAATCCAAACTTCTGGGTAAACAAATTGAGACGCAGACTAGTGTGGGCTATCTAGGGGCAATGACAGTGGGGGGCAGAGAGGTTGACTCTGCCTGAAATTCGATGTGATTGCACAGCTGACATAAGCCCGGCACCGGCGATCATCGTATCGATCGAGGTGGCAAAGGTGTGATGGATGTTGTGGCCAGTCGCTGGGCTATTCGCAATGCAAATAAATAAACAACTTAGAGGCTCTTATGTGTCTTGATAGTCGCACAGTGTAGTGCAGCCATAGTTTCGCATACCCGTTGCCACAATAATATAGTACTAATAATAGAGCCACATGTGAGCTGCCCCGTGTTTACATCATACATACTTATTAACTACTTATTTGCTAGTCGCTCGACTTGCGAGTGCCTCAAACTAGTCGTGACCTGTTATTTGCGGACTGAGGTTACAAAATACAATAACATAAAGTACTCATCGACATAAACATATATAATATATATAAAGTATATATAGACCAACTTTTATAAAATAAAACGCATCTAATTAAATTGTGCTACGATAAATCTACCATGAATGAGCATTAAGCAATATCTTGAAATGAGCGAACACAGCAGAAAACAAGCTGCAGGAAGCTGGCTCTTTGGCTGGCTTACTAACAGGGTATCTGACTGTCGGTCTGACCGACTAGAGCCATCTCACCAGGAACAATGAATCATACTCCCAAATAACGCTTCTTGCCTTGAGCACTTATTTAACATTGAAGTCATGTAGTTCCGCTATGAACTGAGCCTAAGCTCCTTGATCTTCACTGAAAATGATTAAGAATTTGGGATTGGAATTGTGTTATAAAGATATTTATAATAATATATTATTAAGAGCATTATTACAACAGATCTAGACAGCTCGTATAGATCGTCAACACATCTAATCTGAGCACCAACAACAACAGGCGAAGGTTGCAGAGATTACATCTTCCGGAGCGCAGGGGCATCTGATGAACTTGAAATTTTGTAGAATAAGATAGTATAAGGAATAAATAAGTATAGATTTTAGATGTACAGGCTTACAGCTAAATGAGCTACAGAGTCTATGAACAATACGTTGCAACAATATCAACTGACTACAAGCGAATTAGAACGTTCCAATCGGGTATTACCGACTGCATTACACTCATTAATGTTCAAGAAACAGTTAAATCTTATGTGGCAGAGGTGTCTGAAAGCATTTTGGAATTCTTTTTCATGTGAGTCATAGCTTCAATTTGGATCGACCCCAAACAGCACACTTATGTAATTTTCAGGTAATCGATACAGGAGCTCAGCAGTCACCAAGTCATGTAGCTTTACGTTTCTAAATGTCATATCGTGGATGCATAGCTTCCCCAGTAAACGTAGACATGCACTATTTGGCAAGTCCTTAGAAGGAATCTAGGTGTACGAAATTACATGGAAAATATGTTATCCCAAAACAGTTCAAGAGTAACTAAATTTTAAGCTTCCAGATTTATTTTCTTCTTTTTAATTAATCAAAAAGTTCTACAATAAATACTAATAATAAACTAATAATAATCATAATCAATT